TTAAATTTGGTTATCTAAATTGCAATTTATTTATTATAATTATTATATGTATATCGTTTCCATTTGATCGAGGAGAATACCTTTTAAGCTTTCTTGAAACAACCGAATACATACATATGTATGTATGTACCTAGTCCTTTCAGACTAAAACCTCGAATTCCTCTCAATGTTTTGCTTGTGTAATAAAAGGTCCTTTGCATCCCAAAAACGTTTATGCCACGTTTCATGCATGCCGTTGATAAACATGTACATATGTAAGTGTGTATAGACCAAGTGTGTCCAAACTTCTCCTCCTCTGAGTGCAAACGTGAGCTCGTTAAACTGTTCGAAATTGTTGTTGGATGATACGAGTAAGACTTCGTCGGTCTTTGGAATTTTCCTCGTTATTTATCTGAACTGAAAAAGAATTTTACTTGTACATCATTTAATTAAAGAAAATTATGACCTGTTAATTTGCGTAGGATGGGTAAGCAGGATTAGACATCCAAATACATAAAAAAACATAACTTAATAACTTAAGGAAATAAAATTAATGAAAAGTTTAATTAAACTGAAAAGTAAATCAGCCAATAAAAGTTAAAGCCTACACAAATAAACGAATATTTTTGGCTGCAATCAAAACTATTCAAATATCTTCTCCTATAAGTAGTGTTTTTTTTAATTTTATTAAAAATCAATATTTTATTTTGAAAAAAGGACAAAGCTACACAATTAATTTTAGAATTTTCATCGATCTATCTTTCCTGGAACATAAACGAAAAATTCTGGAGCAACAAAAACTCAGAGAGCTAAAAGAACAGCAAGATAAACAACAACAACGCCAACAGCAACTGCAATTTCAGCCCCAGAAAACTGAACAATTTTAAAAATTCCAAAAACCTCTTTAGAGAATACAAATACACATACAAAAACCAAAACGAAATATTAAAATAACAAAACAAAAAATAAAAAAAAAACAAAGACAATTAAAATTTTCCAACTCAAAAAAAAAAAAGAAATTTATAAAATGAAAAATAGTTATTTATCCACTGACAACAGAGCAGCAAAAGCCTTTCCCCTAACTAAAGTTTCATTACTAAACGAAAAGAGGACGACTTAACATTTGACTGCCCTGTGGACGATCAAAAATGTGGGTGCTGAACTGACAACACTTCATTCGACACAATTGAAAATTATCAATTGGCCTGTGATATATGTAGTTAAAATTATTTATTTAAAAACATTAGTTCGTAGATTTTCTATGTAGTATTAAAATACTCATAGTAAAAAGTTGAAAAAAAATCAAAATTTTTAGTTACAAAAAACATCCATACTGACCCCTTAGCCCACCCCATTTAAACCGTCCACAAATTCAATTACATACATATATATGTACATATGCCTTTGATCCATTATTCCGTCTCATTAAAATAATCGGGCGATTTTTTTTTCGCGAATGTATAAAACTGCTTTGCAGCGCAGAGAGCAAAAGAGCAAAGCTTAAGCACTCACTTAAGGTTTACTGGAAGATAATAATAATTTTGGTTAACTAACTAATTTTTTTTTGCTGCTTTCGGGATGAGATCTAACATACATATTTACATAGTACCTAGTACTTAAGAGTTGCTGCTGCATACAGTTCACCTGCTCGCCCCCCACATACATACATTCTCCTATTGCTATACATACTTACGTAAATAAATACATCCCAATGGGAAAAGTAGTAATGCATTAATGAAAAATAATGATAAATAATGTAAAGCATTACTTATGACTTTTAGATTCTATTACTGTTTAATATGTAATGAGCATTATTATGTATCCAAAAAGTCCCACAAAATTCATATTAATCATGGATAATGCCAAATTGCATGCCCTACTTTTTGCTTTAGTACATCGCCGTGGGAAAGAAATGCATTTTCGAATGTAAAAACGGTTATTTTACTGATATTTTTTCGATTGCCACAGACACATTACATTTTCCCACTGGGATACTATGCCCTTACGTAATTGCATCAGAAGTTACATACATACATACATACATAATTGCTCAACATACTTACACACATACATACATCATATAACCATTAACTAAGATCATTTACATAACATATGTACCAACATACATACATACATACATACATACATACATATGTAAAGACAAATTATTAATCTGTTTGCTAAATTATAAATGACTATTAATTCTAACGTATTGTGCACATCCTGTTTTTTTCTTTCTCTCTCTCACACAAACACATACACAAAAAAATTCTCTTCGCAACTGCAATGCCAAATAAAAAAATAAAAAAAATTAAAAACCAAATAATTATAATTGAACACTTACATTTACGAAATCCAAATCGAATATCTTATAAATCTAAATGCGAATTGAATTCGTTTACACCAAATATAATTATTTTAACAAAACATATGTAAATGAAACCCAAAACCTCTTGAAAAATTACCAAAAAAAAAAAACAAACAAAAAACACAAAAACAACGCTACTATATCAAATTTAACCGTGTCGAAATTTTCGTCGAATGATGGCAATTAAAATCACTACCAATCGTCAAAACCCGCCGATCAACCGTATCGTCGGCCGCCCATCCGCCCATTCGTCCACCCATCCGCCCGTCAATACGTCGATATCGATACTGTGGCGTGGCGTTATTTGCTATGCTCTCAACTCGATCGAAATCAAATCGTGATCGTGTATATGTATCGGTTACATATGCATACTCCAACACAATGCAATGGAATGACGAAAATTGCCAAATGATAACGACAACGACAACAACAAAACAAAACTGCAAACCATCGACAATGAGCAGTTATAAGAAGACTCTTCACTTTGATCCATCGAAGAGCGAGACCTACAGAGCCATACAGGAGGAGGGTGGCTATGGAAATGGCTATGCCCCACAGGAGGTGACAGTACCGGTCCAGCCAAAGGTCTTCCAACCAAACCGATTGGTTCCAGGAAAGGTAAGGTCGAAACGACAAGCTGCTTGCGATCATCGTCCACCGTTCACCGATCATCACCGATCATCGATCATCGAGCATCGTCCATTGATACACCGCCATCACTAGCACTTTATAGCATGAACTTGATCGGCAAAAAAAATAAAAGGCAAAATATCAAAAAAAAAAAAATGCAAAAAAAACAAAAAACTGTCGCCTACCTTTTTGTGCATCTCCTATCAAAATTATATTTGTGTAACATTGCAGTCATCCATCGCTGGCGGAATGTTCAGCAAGTGTTTTTTCGGAAAGAAAGTTTTAATATCACCGAATTTCATTTTCTTTTAATTTATCTATGTATGTACTTAACTCCTTACGTAAATTTATTAGCTCACATACACATTATTACATAAATGTAAATATATGTATAAGTTCTTTGCGCTTTCGTATCACCGTTGTCCGTTGTCATAGAAAGAGAATATCCGCTGCATGTGTCCTTGTTGTGTAACGCATTTTTGAACGCTCTCTCGCTCGCAGGCTCAAACCGCTCAAACAACTCTGGTATGATCTCACTCACTTTCCACCCTTATTTGACTCTTTGATCATAAACATATTCAGTTGTATTTAATTCTTTGTAACACTTTTTGATTCATGTGATTTCGTATTTGGACCCAATATATTTTGTATGTATGTGTGAAATTTGTACAAAAAACATCAAGAAAAAATATATATGTATTTTTGTAACTTTTAACATAAAGTGCATTGGAAAACTAAAAATGCGGCTGCCTTTAAAAAAGTTAACTCATTTCATTAGATTGGCTCTCATCTCTGTACACAACGCGAACTGTATTCAAACGAGGCTCAGCTAAAAAAAAAAAATTGCCAATTTTTTTTTTGCATAAATTAATTCGCAGGATTTTCTCAAATTAATGCAAATATTTTTTTCTTCGTTATTATATTCTCTAACTAGAAAACTTCTAATTTTTGAGTTATGCCTCTTTTGAAGACGGTGCGCGATATGTACATATGTATATATCTGTGATTATGAATTGCTTCATTTGAAGTAGTGATTTGATCAAATGTATTTTAATTTTTAATTTTTTTTTTTTCAAATTAACCCATAATATTTATAAGTAACAATTCGAATGTTTTTTTTTTGTATTTATGATCTCATCTTTTGTTACGCATATGTGTACATATGTACATACATATGTGTGCCAGTGTAATATATGCAGATAAATAACTATTTAAGACTTTATTAAAACTAACTTTTTAATGGATTTTCAGAAACCCAGCTCAGCAGCGCCCGTTTCCTACCCGACGTACAATGTAAGTAAAGTACCTACCTAATTTTTTTTTTTAGTATAAACCAAATTTTTGTATAGAAACATGTGTAAATACTTTGATATACAGCTAACATCCCTGAAGTAGATCAGTCTAAGAAAAATATTAAATAATGCAGAGTCTTGCTTTTGCATGTAGGTATCGATAGGCCTCGGAAGACACAGATCACCGAAGCTAAGCATTCTGGTTCCTCTTATTCCATAACCCTGAGAATGGGCGGATGTATTAGCTTTTATGCTCTGTATTGCCCAGCAATGCCCAAGCAGGAAACTCGTTGGAGTTTGTTGAGCTCGGCCTGCGTGAAATCCAGTCCCATTTTCTTTTACCAAGCGGGCATATATGTATGTAATAGTTTCGTACATCCAATTTGCCAACTTAGGCTATCTGCACACTTGTCGTCCAATCATAGTTGCGTTATCGTCTCGCCCTGAAATTTCGAGCCGACCACATGCATTTAAAAGGAGATTTGCACACTTGTCGTTATTGGCTAGTTATCGGCAAATCGTAGAAGATTTAGAAACGGATAAGTACGACACTGTCGTTTGAGATACTTCGCCGACCTAAACGGCGGAACCCGGAAAACCCGATATCCCTAACGGCTTTGTCCTTGTGGACCAACCCAATAGAAGCTGCACGCTTCCTAGGGCAGCCGTTAGTGGAACTTGACGACAACGACTGAGTAACCAACCGATCTGGGCGGGGTTGTTGTAGCCGCATTGTTTCGCCGTTGTCACTTACTCAGTAGGTCATAACAATAAAACTGACAATTGTCATACGACAGCTTAAAATAAATTTGCGGCATAGTATTAGGTGCAGTAGTAAAGGCAATAGTCAGCCGTTGAGTTTTGTCAGTGGTGTGGGAATAGGGCGGTTAGACGCCAAATGCATTGAAATATCACGACCGGTTCTGCGAAAGTGTAGTCGTTATGTAAAAGTTGCATCATTATTCATGATTGTGACGATGCAGCAACTATGATTGGACGACCAATTTGCAGAAAGCCTTAGCGCTGACCTTTTTCATAGTTTATCTAGATGCGGATCCTATGACAGCTTATAAATAATCAAATATAATTTCCAGGTGTTTGACTGCTTTAGATAAGCGTGTCTCTTCTCTTTAAGAAATGGTTCTAAATGCTTGTCCCTTTTCATTTGACTTGAGGAAGTAGCTTCTTAGGGTTAACGTTCAGTCCGTTTTGAGGAGGTTGCTTACATATATTTGGAGGTGGGGGAGTTTCCTAACATTTCAACAGCATTAAACAATACTCGTATAAAAAGGAATTGAGAAAAATAAATATAACGATAACGATTACCGTTAACGTTGGCAAAGTTTTTTAAAAGTATCGACATTAACAAAGGTTACCATTAATAAACGAATGCAACCCTAAATATATAATCCGTTGTATTACTTAAACATTACCTGACTATTTATATATGCACATAGCTTGACTAAATAATCGAATCACAAATTTTGTCAATATCCTCACTTTCTGCATCCTCAGGTGGTAAATACACAAGATGACACCATCCGTCAGAGCTCATCATTCAACCGCTTGATGTACAGTGTATTGGGCGCGTCAGAATATTAAGGGTTTCTATGCGAGAGCCCATCGATGTCACCTAAAAAAAGAGAACAACAATCAAAACAACAACTTAAATAGCGATAGCCTTAAATAAACAAAATGAAAATGTTAAACATTTAGCGAATGTTTAATTAAAAGAAATTGCAGTACAGCTCAGCAAATAAGTGAATATGCGTATATACCTACATACATATATTTAATATTATAACATACACATACATATGTATGTACATATGTATGTACTTAACTATGTATTATCATACAAAAATAAATTACATATCTAACATTATCAAATACGAAAGGAAGTTTAGCAAGATTCTATCAATTCAGAAAAAAAGAAAATACTTAGTTTTATAAATGATACATACGAAGCATAAATAGTTACATAAATACTTACAGCCAAAATTGTGCACAAATTCATAAGCTTATTAGTAACAAATAACTGTAATAAGTTTCGTAGTCGATTCAAAATTATTTGAAAATAAAAAGAAATAAAATAAATCAGAAAAACTACTTAAAATCGGTTTCCCCATTTAATAATGTCCAATATTGCAAAAACAAAAACTAACTTTAATTAATATTGTATTTTACTATCATTAAGAAAGGTAAAATTCACAAAAAAATGAGTGTTTTTCTAGTCAGAATGAATGGGGAATTCATGTAGTGCCTATTTAGTCGTCTTTCCAAGGAGCCAAACATGAAATTCATCCATTTCAAAGCGATTTGCAAAAACTGAACTTAACCTTAATTTATGAAATTATTTATAAATTACAAATCTAATGAAATAAAATTTTATCATTGGACGGGAGAAATTCCAAAGCGTTGTTTTCTTAAAAGTGAGTTATCTAAAAGCAGCATGGCATAATTGATCTGATAAAAAATAAAATTTTAGCTTGAAAAAAAATTAAGTAAAATTAATTAAAGTAAAATTAAATGAATTGAAAAAAGAAACGAAATTATTGAAAATATATAATAAACATAAACACCTCCGTAATTTGTACACATCGCCCGTACTAGGGTCATGCCATTTTACTCAGCTCTCCGCACTCGGCCACGTCGCACAATGGGCCTAGAGCGGCCAAAGCCGGTAAGTGAAAACGGACTAGAGATTTCTGAAAAAGCAATTACGCACGTTCATAGCAAAATATCCAACTAAATCAAATCAAAAAAAAAATAAAAAATTTTGATAAAAATACATATTTGCAGTCATGGAATGAACATGATGTGGAAATTGGTTACCTCTCTTTATATGCGTAAATTTAAACACAAAATTTTTAGAGCAAATTTTAAATATTTCATAAGTAAAATGTGAAATTGTGAGAAATAAATGTTTCGAATTCAACAAACAAATTTGAAATTTGTTCTACGCTGCACATATGATAAGTAAAAGTAAACAAGTAGTGTTTAATTGAATTAACGCGGTGTGTAAATTTGCGTTCATTAAGAGAGGAAACTAAATATGCGCAAACTTAAACAAACATTTTTTTAGAGTGTAGCTAAAGGAAAGCCGTCTGGTGTGTACATAAAATAAATAATGTGCAATAAAAAATGGAATTGGAGGAAGATGTACAACGATATTTATGACTCGCGAATCTATTAATCAGATTCAGCAATCAGCCAAAAGTGGACGCTTCTATGGACGAAATTTGTTTGCGAACAGGACAAAAGTCCTGCTTGCCTTAGCCCAGTTTTAATTGTTTAAAATGTAAGTAGATAAACATACATATGTTTCCATTTTTTCAGTTTCAAAAGCAAGAAATGGAAACTGCTTTAGAAATAAAATAAATGTGTTTGTTGATTTTCCACAAAACTCATAAAATTTAGTACCTAGAGCCAAAAGAGTTTAGTAGGAGGTGAATGTCACATTGAGAAACTCTTCATTACCCTCCAAAAAAAAAAAAAAAAAAAACGAGAAGGGTACACCTAATTCCATCAAAATATCATTTTTTAGTATTTTTCAAAACCTACTTGACGTTATTTCAGATTTATGTTTTTCAGGTTCAAACCAGCATATACTCTTTGATAATTCCTACTGGGTCTTCACCAAAATTCAACGTTGAATTGTTTATAAATAGTTACTTGCTACGAGAAGTAAAAGAGGCAAAAGAAATTAGTACTCTATAAACATACATACCTTTGCACATACATACATACATACATACATACATACATACATACATACATACATATGAATGCCTATTTGAATATGTGTGCGGCGCGCATGTAGCCATCACTTCATGACGGGAACTTTTACGACCGCCACTTGTATAATGAGCCGTCCGTGGCTATTTCATGCAAAAAAAAAAAGAAGTAAAATTGCTGATTACTCAAGCAAAGCTTCAAACAATAATCTTTCGATTTGCAACAATCAAATGAAAAAATGCAATAGGGCTATTCGCGATTCGGTGCATAAGAGCTGACAAATTTATGCAATTGCAGAAATATGCCATGGATTGTGAGCGACCTTTAATAAACTGTCATGGTAAAACTTTTTTAATCAACTGATAGAAATGTCAACCAGAGTTGCAATGCATAGCATTTTTATGCTATGGATTTTCGGTATTGCAAATTTGTCAAGCCATGACAAATGCAAATGCGTGTATTTTGTTTGTGTATTGCAAATAATTTGCAATACAAATTTGCAATGCAATGATGCTAGGCCATTTGCACCGGATTGCGAATAGCCCTAATGAAATTTATTTTGAGCACAGCTTGAACTTTTTAGTAGTTAAAAAGTAAAACTAAAACGAGGTGAAAACTATAAAGAAAGCGAATTTTAAAATTAAGTTAAATAATTAGAAATATGTATGTATGTACGTGCGTAGTTGAGGCTAGGAAGCTGAATATAAAAATATATACTCTACATATATGTATGTAGGTATACAAAAATCGACAAAGACACAAAAAATAAAAAGTTATAGTTCCCTGCACGCAGCACGCAGCACGCCAATAAGTCACGGTTACGATTAGGTAACAGCAAACATATGTACGTATTTACATATGTATGTATGTATATATGTATATCGTTGGCACTGCACACCCGCACAGGCTACGCAATTATGGAAGAAAGATCACGTACATAGTATTTATTGTACACATACATACATATGTAGATACGAGTACATACTGAATACAGGTTATGTCCAATAAGTAGCTAACTTATAGCATAGCGAACTCAGTTGGAGAGCTAATTAGCAAAATTTTGATATTCGAATTTATTTGACCGCAGCTATTGAGATTTAAATGACCTACAAATTTACATAAATACAAAGATGCATAAATTGTGTATGTGTCCTGCTTCATACATACATATATTCAATTATACTGCATCCCATTGGGAGTGGCGTTGAATGATAAAAGAAAGGTCGACCGCAGGAGTATTTACATTTCTACTATGTATATTTATATAAGGGTGCCTCACCAAAAAATTTGCGCGTTTTTCACCCCAATTATATATGGGTGGTTCACAAGGTGTCGTACGTGTCGTATTGTCGTATGTTGTAAAGGTTTTAACGGTTAAATAAATATTTACAGGACTTGAAATCACCACCAACTATTTTTGTAACGGTGTGAAATTTCATAATAAAACTTTTATGTTAGCTTGCGAATTCCTTAAATATGTGTGTACATTAGGGTGGTCCAAAATAAGTAAAGTCGGAATTTTAATGCGCTCACCCCTTAGAAAAAATATACGCATTTGTTATTTTGAAATCAAAAAATATTTAGAGGTCGCTCTAAGTGCTCAAAGTTTTCCATGGTTTCATAGAAACGTTAGAGAATTCATGAAAATCAATATTTTTCGATCGAAAAAACTCTGGTTCTCTTCAGGACACTTCCAATAACCACACTCAATTGTTTATTTAACCAGTTTTTAATACTAAAGTTTTCTGTTCGAAAAATATTGATTTTCAAGAATTCTATACCATTTCTAGCAAAAGTCGTTTTTTCCCCATATAAAATACAATGGAAACCTTGAGCGCTTTTAGCGACCTCTAAATATTTTTTGATTTCAAAATAAAAAACTGGTGTTATATTTTTGTGGTATAGAATGATCCTATGGGGTGAGAACATAAAAGATCCAACTTTATTTGTTCTCATGCATTTTTGGACCACCCTAGTGTACATATATGATTATATGTACATACATACATATTAATTGAGGTGTATCGAATATGCTAATTTTGAAGGACAAACATATTCCAGCTCTATTCGGTTTCAATCGAATTCCAACAATGGAAACAAATAAATCATTGAAGCCACCAACACCAACATTCATAAAAGCCTTGCGAAATTATTTTTGATAGTTTTAAGTACAATGGAAAAAGAGTAAAATAAATACATACAAATATTTGAAAGTATGAACCCAACGGCATTTCATAATTACCAAATATAATCGGGTTCGATTCCAATTAGGCACTTGGCCCCACCCTTGTAAATCATTTAACCCACATTCCCCTCAACTCTCCTCCACACTCGTAACATTTGCATAAGTCGAGAGTTAGGGTCGTGCGTACATATTGTTGTCCGGGCTCTTTGTACGTTTCGACGCTGCTTCAGCTACGGGCGACGGCCAGAGTGGCTCCTTCTGTATGTCTAACCGATCACAACCTCTACTATTTCCTCAATTTAACGATTATTCCTGCTTCGACGGTGCAGTAGGGCGTACGCTAAATGCTTTGCGTAGAGCTAATCCCTGCATTGAAAAATGGACAGCTAATCAGTACATGCTCCGCGTCGCCGGGGAAGTTGAGACCACAAGTCTCGCAATGACCGTAGTCCTTGTCGTTAAAATGCTGCAAGTCTACCTCCCTGTGCGCCCTACTACTAGGTATTACTCGATATTAGGGATGAGCCGATGTGTCCACCACAGCCATAGGTAGCTGTGTCCCATCAGTCCTGCCATTCGGTTTGAGTGCGCCTTCTCGCAAGCGTTTGTGTGTTCGATGCTTTGGAGCAGGCAGGAACAGTGAAATAGGCTTCCTTCGCCAGTAAATCAATGGGGTACAGCCCTGGCAGCACAAGGTTAGGCTGGTTTTGGTAGCCTTCTCGCAAATGTAATGCATGTGCTCATTGAACTACGATCAAGCGTCGAATTTAATGCCCAGTTATTTAATTGCTGGCTTCGAATGTATCGTATATCCCCTGATGCGAGCCTTCGCCTCCTCTCTTACTTTACGGCCACTGATGAGTAACAACTACGATTTATGCTCAGCTAGACTCAGAACCATGGCCTCCATGCACTCGGTAATCCTCGCTACGGTAACCTCCGCTATTCGCTCGGCATCTTCATGATATGTATTTTGCAACCACGACGACTGCGATATCGTCCGCGAACCCTATAATTTTCACTTCTTTAGGTAGGAGTTTCGTTTGCGATCTACATCTCATAAATCCTCTACGGCCTATGCGGTATTCCTTTCTTACTTTACATTTGCGTAAGATGTACTTAATTAAGTGAACGTCAGTGTTAAACCAGTGTGAACGGTGTGTAACCCATTAGAAGTC